TTTGCTCTGGTTATTTTGGAGATGGGATCGCTTGAACTATTTGCCTGGGCTGGCCTCAAACCATGATCCTCCTGATTTCAGCCTCCCAAGTAGCTAGGATTACAGGTGTGAGCTACCAGCACTGGGCTATACAATGCTATTTTATAAAAAAGAAAACCTTTTCAAATTTATAACCTTGAGTAGGAGGGGTAGGAGGATGCAATCCTGTTAATATTATTTACCTGGTGGGATTACAGAGGTTAAGACAATTATCACCTTTTGAAAACATATGTATATTGCTTGACTTGTATTTTATCTCTGAAGTAAAAATATTTCTCAAAAATAAATAACAATAAGCCAGGTTCTGGTGGCTCACATCTACAATCCTAGCTACTCAGGAGGCAGAGATCAGGAGGATCGCAGTTCGAAGCCAGCCCAGGCAAATAGTTTGTGAGACTCTATCTCAAAAATAACCCTTCACAAAAAAAGGGCTGGTGAAATGGCTCAAGGTGAAGGCCCTGTGTTAAAGCTCCAATATTGCAAAAAAATAAATAAATAAGATAAAAAAAAATAACAGTACTAGTAAATGGAAACAGCAATTATTGTAGCTATCTTAGAAGGAACTATGTCAAAATGTTAAGAATGATTGTTTATGGATAGTGGGGCTAAGGGTTAGGTTTTGTTTTTAAAATTTAAAATCAGTTTTGCTGGTTTATAATTTTCATACTATTATGTTCACAAATGTATGCATTTGTTTTCTACTGCCTTTCTATATCTGCACACTGTAAAGGAATTATAGGATTCTGGGGATAATGGCAGCAGAACAGATCGTTTTAATCTCACCAAATTCTATCACAAAACCAGAACAATTAGATAGCCAAATCAAAATCCCATGAACAACATTTTTAACAGTTCCAAAATTGTGACAAGCTATCCCCATGACACCCAAAATACAAGCAGGTGGGGACAAACACTAACAGCTAAAAGATCTGTGTAGGCCATAGTTTGTGTGAGAGGGGAAAAAAGTAAAATAGCAGGGCAACTAACAGACTTGAAAACCTACGACCAACAGGCATTTCCTAGAGAGCCCAATAGGCTACTGCGAGAACTGCAGTTAAATCACAAAGGGGTTTTGCCCAATCCAATAGCTGATGAATGCAGGCCCCCTGTAACAAGGTCTGAAGAGGCTGGGGGCAGTCTAGGTCCAGTGAACTCCTGAACTGACTTTCATGGCTTCCCTTTGAGCAGAGTCCCACAGTGAGGAGAAACTTCTGGATGCAGAATGAAAAATCAGATCAAGGACAACAGAGATAAATGAAGAAAAGGTGTAGATGAAAGTGGAGAAAGGAAACAGAACTGGGAAATCTTAGAGAGCAACTGGTTGTTTCTTGGAATGTTACACAAAACAGCAGCAGAGGGAGCCCCATGCCATTAGAAAAGCTATCTTGAACTGCACCTCCTTCTAAACTGGGCATGGTGGTGTATGTCTGTAATCTCAGCACTGGGAGGCAGAGGCAAGAAGACTGCAAGGTCCAAGCCAGCCTGAGCTACATGGTGAGACCTTGCCTGAAAACACAAAAGGAAACATACCATATCACCTTTCAAAAGCCGGGCACTGGTGGCTCATGCCTGTAATCCTAGCTACTCAGGAGGCAGAGATCAGGAGGATCATAGTTCAAAGCTAGCCCCAGGCAAATAGTTCGTGAGACCCTATCTTGGGAAAAAAACCCATCACAAAAAAGGGCTGGTGGAATGGGTCAAGGTACACCCTGTGTTCAAATCCCAGTACTGGAAAAAAAAAAAAAAAAAAAGAAAGAAAAGAAAAAGAAAACTGGGGAAATACTGTTTTTCCAAAACTAGTAACAGAAGAGGACTGAGGGCAAGTTATAAGAAAAAAGAGACTAAGAAGCGGAATAACATCCCTACTGAGCTACCCTCAGGATGCAATCAGCAAAATTTAGACTATAGGAAATGAGAAAGGCACTCAGGCCAAATATCCTGGATGCTTCAGTAGATAAATTGTTATGAAAACAAAGGGATGGGGCAGGAAATACGCAGATTAAGAAACTCTCTACATTTCAAATTAGAGAAATGGGAAAGCCAGATGTGGTGGTGCATGTCTGTAATCCCAGCACTTTGGAGGCTAAGGCAGGAGGATAGAGTGTTCAATGCATCCTGGGCTACATATTGAGTTCAAAGTCAGCCTGTGCTACATAGATAGTTCAAGGCCTGTCTGAGCTAGGTAACATTGTATTTAGAGACATTGGCTCTAAGTAAATAAACAGTGAAGTTGATGACAGGTCAATAGAAAATGTTCAAAATGAAGCACAGATAACCACAAAGATGGAGGAAAAAAAAAAAAGAGCAGATGCATGAGGAACTGCTCAAATATCCAAAGATCTAGCATACATATAACTGGAATCTTAGAAGAGAAGAGAGACTATTGGGCAAAAGCAATATTTAGAGATATACTGAGAATTTTCCCAAACTGATAAAAGGTATCAACCCACGGATTCAAGCAGTTCACCAAGAAATATAGATGCAATAATATCATGCCTAGTAACACTACCAAAATGTGCTGAAATAATTCAAAGGAAAAAAAAAACACATCAACTTCAAACAAACAACTGTATATATAACAAACAAATGGAAAGCAGCCTGGGTGCCAGTGGCTCAAGCCTGTACTCCTAGCTACTCAGGAGGCAGCAATCAGGAGGGTTGTGGTTAGAAACCAGCCCAGGCAAATAGTTTGGGAAACCGAAGTGAGAAGACAATGAAGTTGCCTCTTCAAAATTCCAAAAGAAATTATTTGTCAATTTATGCTAAATGAAAAGTGCTACAATAATAAAAGTTCGAAAATGACACTTTTAGGACCCCCCCAGTTTCAGAAAGTGGGGGCCACTCAGGTGTCTGGCCAGTGTTCTTCATAGCTATGAGCCTGGCAGGGGGGATGGAAGGGACCTTGCCCTGCAGGTGGGAAAGAAAAGCACAAGATGAACCATGAGAGGAGAGGAACTGTCCCAATAATCTTCAATTACAAGAGGTCTGGGAATGCCAGACAGGGGTGCACCAGCGCAGACAGGGACACCTGATGCAGGTTTTTAGATCTAGGATTTTTTTTTTTTCAGTACTAGGGTTTGAACTCAGGACCTACACCTTGAGCCACTCTGCCAGCCCTTTTTTGTGATGGTTTTTTTTTTAAGATAGGGTCTCGATAGGCCACTGGCGCCTGTTTAGATCTAGGATTTGAAATTAATGCTGTTCAAACCCCAGTACTGAAGAAAAAAAAAATAAATATGAAGTGACTGTTTTAAGGATCTTAAAATGGAAGAATTACTGCTCAAAATTCATGAGCAACCTCAAGCCATGTGGACACTGATTTTTTTTTTCCCCAGCACAAGCTGTAAGGCGCCTGCTTTGTGAGCTCAAACCCATGAGTTCAAAACCCAGTCCCACCAAAAAAAAAAAGAAAAAAGAAAAAAACTCTACTGCAAACCTACAGTAATTGAAACAGCGACACTGTCATAAAGACAGGTAGATCAGTGGGTTGCAAGCCCAGAAGTAAGCTCTCAGATGATCTCCTATAAGGAGGCCAAGACCATTCAAATGATGGTGGGAAAACTGGATGTTCAAATGAAAAAGAACAAAATTGGAGACTTTATCATACACAAAAATAAAACATAACAGCCCAAACTATGAAACTATTAGAAGAAAACGGGAGAAAAGTTTCATGAAATTGCATTTGGGGATGATTTTTTGGATGTGGCACAGACAGTATGGGCAACAAAAGATAAATAGAGCCAGGTGCCAGTAGCTCACTCCTGTAATCCTAGCTAGGAGGCAGGGATCAGAAGGATCTGATTCAAAGCCAGCCCAGGGGAATAGTCTGTGAAACCTTATCTCCAAAAAGCCCATCACAAAAAAGAGCTGGTGAAGTGGCTCAGGTTGTAGGCCCTGAGTTCAAGCCCCAGTACTGAAGGGTTGGGGGTAGGGGGAGATAAATAGGATTACAAAATTAAGACACTGTTGCAAGACAGATTCAGTTCCTGCCTTTGTGGGACTTCTCATTTATAAGGAAGACAGTTTTCAAATAAGTGTGGTGAGTGCTGAGAGGGGTTACAGAATTGAATTATGGTTATAAAAATGCAAAATTCCTTGTAGAGACTCACATAGATAGTACTCCAGCCATAGACAAGGTGGACATGGTCTTTTCATTATAACCGATGTGTTGGGTGGGTCACTTGTCACTTGGAATATGACTAGAAAAATGGAGAGGGAGAGAAAGGGAGAAAGAGAGAGAGAGAGAGAGAGAGAGAGAAAGCTTTTTATGATTGATCCGCATAGTACAGGTATACAACTGAAGCATTCCTTTTTTATTCTGGGTTTGACGCAATTCTACCATTTACTGGCTGTGTGGAGGGTAAATCAGTCTACCTCAAACCTGGGCTACTTATCTACGAAATGCCTGCCTGCCGCGAGGGGCTACTTTGAGGAGTATAGATGTATGACATCTTGGGTTCGCTGACACATATTTTCATGTGGATTTTTTTTTTTCTATTGGCACTGGGTATTGAACCCTCTCTATCGCTTGCTATGCGACATCTCTCCTAGATGAACCACGCCCCCAGCTCATCACGTGGATATTTTGATTGCGGAGTGGCTCAAGTGGTAGAGCACTTGCCTAGGAAGCATGAGGCCCTGAGTTCAAAGTCCGGTATACTACCACCAAAAATAAATAAAATAAAAGAAAAGAAAAGAATTGCTGATTCCTCGGTCAGGATCAGTGTCTTGAAGTGACTTCCTCATTCCCTTCCCTTATACCCTTATTTGAATCTAGTGTGTCAGAATACGCAAATGTAGTCTAAACGCTACTGCGACGCGATGTGACAAGCTACATTAGTCAATTTCAAAAGTCCGTCCCATTCGCTACCCAGGACAAGGGTACCTTCGTACTTGACCTCACCAACATGGCTGCTGGAACTGGCTTGCAGGAAGTAGCTCTGTAGGATCACTTCCGCTTCCGTTGAGGCAAGCGCTTTCATTTTTGTCAGGCTCCGTGACTAAGATGGAAGCGTTTTGGGAGTCGCGGTCTGGGCATTGGGCCGGGGGTCCGACCCCGGGACAGTTTTACCGCGTCCCGTCCACTTCCAGTTCTTTCATGGATCCGGTATCCGCTCACTACGAGGGCCCAGTCACGCGGACCCAGTAAGTTCTCGCGCCTTAGCCTGCGTAGTGGGGGAGGGACCCGATGCGACCCGGGATTCCGAGAGACGTCGGGAGGCCCAGGCGGCCACCCCGGGGGAGCGCGACCAGCAGGGGAGCCCCGGGCAGACGCCCAGAGTAAATCTGAAGCGGAGCCCACCGCGCGGAAAGGACACAGGCTCCTTCCCCGCGACGCCCGTCCCCAGACTTTTCTCACTCCCCAGGAACCCCATGGTGACCGGGACCTCGGTACTGGGCGTCAAGTTTGAAGGCGGAGTGGTGATTGCAGCAGACATGCTGGGCTCCTATGGCTCCCTTGCCCGCTTCCGCAACATCTCTCGCATTATGCGAGTCAACAACAGCACCATGCTGGGTGCCTCTGGAGACTACGCCGACTTCCAGTATTTGAAGCAGGTTCTCGGCCAGATGGTGTAAGTTGGCTTGGGGCGAACACAGAGCAGCTCCCAAGAGTGGAGGGGAACCCCCTGTTATTCTCTTAGGTGGGGTCGGGGGATCTGAGGCTGCCGTGATTTGGGGAATTGTTGGGGTTCAAAAATACGTAGAGTAGGGGAGAGGAAGGGGGTTAAGCAATAACAGGGGGTGAATCTGAACAAAGAACAATATGTGTGTGTATGGAAACACCACAGTGAAACCCTATTGTACGATTTAGGGCAATAAGAAATTTAAAAATGTGAAGTTTGTTGTAAACAGTTTTTGGCATTAGGGGGTGTGAAATTGGGTAGATGTAGTAACTTCTTTTGGGGGTGGGTGGAAATCTTGACTTCTGTTCTCACCCTTTTCTCACAATCAATTCCTTTTAAGGATTGACGAAGAGCTGTTGGGAGATGGACACAGCTATAGTCCTAGAGCTATTCATTCGTGGCTGACTAGGGCCATGTACAGCCGCCGCTCCAAGATGAACCCTCTCTGGAACACCATGGTCATTGGAGGATATGCTGATGGAGAAAGGTTGATTTGAATAACTTTGACCACCCAATCTAGCACTTGTGTAATGTCTCCTGTCTTCTCCTCCAGCAAACCCTTTTGTTCTCATGGTCTCTTTCTTCAGCTAAGAACCTTAAAATGAAATGAATTGTTGGATTTATTGTGTCCTGTTAGCTTCCTGGGGTATGTGGACATGCTTGGTGTAGCCTATGAAGCCCCTTCGCTCGCCACTGGTTATGGTGCATACTTGGCTCAGGTAAGTAGTAGGTCTAGAGGTAAAGGAAAAGGAAATGGGCTAGTGCTTGTCTATTTTCTTTCCTGGAATTCTGAAGAGGGACAGGCTGGGATCCTAATGCTGGGCAGCTGGTGCTTTGTATCTGGAGACTAAGTATTGACACTTTAACATTTCAGTGACAAAGTAGGACAAATGGGAGTCAGTAAACCCCTGTACAGAGTAGATGCCCTAGAACTTTCCCTTCAGTGGGGTCTTAGTAAGTACTTCATTCTGGTGAGACAGTCAGTAGAGAAGTTGTTTTTTTCAGTCATTTATGCTTGTTTACACTGTGGGGTAGACCCAAATAGCCTACTTTGTTTTCTCCCCAAATCTCCGTAGCCTCTGCTTCGAGAAGTTTTGGAGAAGCAACCAGTGCTGAGTCAGACTGAGGCCCGAGAGTTAGTAGAACGCTGCATGCGAGTTCTTTACTATCGAGATGCTCGTTCATATAACCGGGTAAGGAGTGGCGTGGAAAAAAAAAAAAAAATTCTGGGAACCTAATTGTTAGTCCCTGGGTCTTACTTCTGTGACTATTTTCAGTCTGGAGAAGACTCTTCCTTTGGCCTTTGATCAGGTTCTAGGGAGTTGATGGTGAGCATTTTAATTGCATATTTTCTTTCAGTTTCAAATTGCCACCGTAACTGAAAAAGGTGTTGAAATAGAGGGACCGCTATCTGCTGAGACCAACTGGGATATTGCCCACATGATCAGGTGATTGAAATGAAAATTATAGTAGCATGAAAGAAGTGGTGGAGTTGAGAAACCCTTGGTTTACACTACGCTAGGCTTTTTTGGAGGGCTCAAAGAGAAAAAAATCAGAAGGTAGAGTGTTTTGATTAAAGGGTAAAGCTGCTTTTAGGAATTGGTTCCTTTATATGCTTCACATTTTTTATTAATGCTTTTTCTTTTTAGTGGCTTTGAATGAAATGCAGACATGTTGTCCAGAGTTGAAGTTGTACCCTTCTTTTAAATTTGAACTTGGTTGGTTCAAAGTAGACTTTTCTTTTGTAAAATAAATCAGTCCTTTCAAGTGTTTGCAGAGTGGTTTTATTCTGAGTTACACCAAGAGCTAACTGCCATGTGCCATCTCTCTCCTACCTTCCCCCCAGATAACCCTTATGCTCTTAATAAATACAGAATTCTCTGCATGACAAAACAGAAGCCCAGGAGTGTCTTCATTTGGGGCTGTCCTAGAGATAGCTTCTTACAGGAGCGAGTGTTTGATGACATCCTGGCTTTTGTGTTTAAAAAATTTTCAGTATTTTCTTCGGTGCTAGACCTACAAGAATGTAGATTTTTCTGGCTAATGGTAGCCACAAATGTGATTTTCATTAAGTTTCAAAGACATGTATCTAGCAGAGCTGTTCTTTATGAGCCTGAAGTGGCAGCCTCCAACCCACAATCTTAACTTTCATACAGAGAATAGAAAGTAGTATAAACATTCAACCTAAATGTTTATTGCCTAAGTCTACTAAAATTCTAGTACTGTCAGAAAACACAGAATCATTTTGTGTTCATTAGAAAGTCCTAAAGTGCAGCTGTGAGTCAAGTCAGTTGGGTATTAGCCATGCTACATCCCTGGAATGGTTTTAAACTTGAATTAAAAAGGTACCATCTTAGATATTCTTATGCATATCCTCTCCAAACTTTGGGACTGTGGCATATGCAGCAACAAGTAAGTGAACTAGTAAATATATGCAAAAAAAAATCCCTTGAGCTTTCAACCGGGAACTTCCACACATTCAGTCTCAACACAGAAAGTAGTCAATAAATACATGTTTATTGATTAAACTGAATTATAAAAAACAAAACAAAAAACTTCCTTCAACTACTAAGCCATGCAGGCGGAGTCCACAAAGACAACTTCCTGGCCCAAACCCAGCTGATTCATTGTTAATGGTCTAAAAAATTACCCATCCAGAGTCAGTGTGCAGAGACCAGGAACCCAGCTCTGTAAGGCTGTGGCTGCTGCAGAGACTACCCAAGGAGGATTAGGTTGTAGACAAGTGACCAATCATAGTTCTCCAACTTTCTCAAAGACAGGGTTGACTTGAAAGTTCAGTCAGTCCTTCAATAATGTGGTATTGGGCAAAAAGCTGGGAAGAGAAGCCCAGGTGATCCTTGTTCATTTTTCAGATGCCATGGGTTCAAAGCTGGTCAAAGCTGTTCAGGGGTTGCTCAGTTCACTATATTATATAGTGTGCTGGGCTCTTTTTTTCTTTTTCTTTTTTTAAAAAAATCCAAAAACCAAAAAATGGGCAGGGAGTGCAGGTGGTAACAAATGTCACACCTGTACCACTAGGCCCATCACATCTCCCAGTCTGAAAGCCTACTAAACAGGGTCACCTTGGGGATTGGGGGAGTTTATAAATGTTTCCCCTCATTTTATCAAATGTTCCACTTATGTACATTTTAAAGATGAACCATTTACAAGCTTGTGCAGGTTGCCTCCTTGGCTCACAGGTGGGAAACTTGAAAGCCTCAGGATAGACAGAAGAGTGGTATATCTGTGGGAAAGGTAGACTTGGTTTTTTGCTCCTTTTCTCTTGTATGGTACAGTACATTTTGGTTTATAACCATGAGTACATAGTTTAAAAAAAAATCCCTCATGCAAATTGTAGAAAAAATTTTTCCTTGAAGCTGGCAGTGAAAAATAAAGATTCATGTTTTTTTCTTTGTGCACACTCCCATGTTTTTTCTTCACATCAGATTCTTCTCTAAGCATTAAGAGAAATAGGGGAAAGTCACAGGGTAAACAGGATTTCAACAAGTGATCTTTTAAAAATTCAATACACTTAACATTTGCACATTTAGTTCCTGGCTGTAGTACCTGTGATGTCTTGAACAGGCATGCTGTCCACCTAACAAGATGAAGTTCAAAAAGGAGGAACTGCCCAGGGGGCTTGCAGGATAAAGACACATAAAACTGGGAATGGCTTCCACCCTAACACTGTTTTATCACCTCAGTAACTCTTGCTTGCTAATAAGGACATGTGTGTTCCTTTGTCCAGATTGATGGGCAATGTGAGATTAGGCAAAGGGTTCAAGGATTGCCAAGTACAAAAAATACTGTTTTTGTCTATTTTTGCTGGAGTGAGGATGGTAAACAAAAGACAAATCTGTTCATTCTTTCTGGATGATTAAAGGTGGTTTCATGCATTTTTAAAGCCACAATTTTATACCTAGAGTTGTAGAACCAACATTCTGGAGAGGAAGGAAGAAAAGGAGAAGAAAAAGTTCAGTGGGATTTTTTTTTTCCATTTTCATTTTATATAAAAGTTTAAGACACAATGAAAAATTTTTTATCCATATATATAATAAACCAGTTTGTGACTACATTTTTTGTCTTTCCCATCTTCAGAAATGTCTCACATTAAAATGGTTATTAGATAATATCATGCCCAAAGACATTGGCCACACAGTAAAACAAACAAAAAACCTGGAAGTACTATGATACAATTGAGGTAAAAGGGGAAACAAAACAGTTTAACATTCGCCCACAAAGAATTTTTTTTCCTTTTTCTTGATTTTGTCAGAAAAATAACAAACACAGTGATTTAATTTTTAAAAAAAAGTCACAAAAATCTGTTTTTAGCAGAAGTGAATGACCAATGGGGTCAGCTTCTCGGCTCAGAAGTGATCACTATTGGTTTTCCTAATAATCCACAAATTCACAGGGAAGTAAGTCAATGTCAGGGGGAGTGGTGGCATTAAATTAAAAATATAAACCAAATACCCCACCTGGTATGCCCCCTTTTCCCTAAATCCCTCTACCCTCCCTCACCTTCCCACCCCAACTCCACACACTCATAACCCCAACACTCAAATCTCCATTAGATCTAGATCAGCTTCCTCAAAGCCATAGAAAGACTCTGTCTCACTTTCCCCCTCAAAGAGCTGGTGAAGGCTTTCAGGTTCAACTGTCTCTTCAGGAGATGATCGGAGTCGGGGAGTGGAAGCTGAGGGTTCCTCAGACTGTTCCCCACTCAGCTTCAGCTGCTCTTCTAGGGAAGCAATGAGCTCCTCCTGCATGTCAGCATTTCGTGTAGGTGAGTTAATGTTGCCATCAGGGCCTGGCAGAACACTAGCCACAAGGAAGGACCGCTGAACTAGCTCTGGGCAGTCTCCAATGACACCCAGCACCTCACTGAGCCAGACCAGCACTAACTGAAGCAGAATATCAGAATCACATGCAGTATCAGCCATTTCCCGAGCCTGCTCCTTCCACTTTTTATGCAGGAAGTTTTTAACAGTTCGCTTGATGCATACGTCTAATGGCTGGATTTTGGAGCTACAGCCTGCTGGAACAACTGCAGGCAAAGTGCTAGAGGCACTAAGCATAGCCAGTACCTCTTCAGACAAGTGAGTGCGATGACAGTCCATCACAAGCATGCCTTGCTGCGCTACAGCTGTGTGCTTCCTCCACACTCGTGATGACCACAGCTCCATGATCTCATCATCGCTGTAGCCACTTTCCTTCGCCTCTAGCAATATGGAGTCTGGCACATTAGCAGGCTGATCCATTTGTCCTCGGTAGAAAACCAGGGTGGGGAGGACAGTGCCATCTGCCAGAATGGCTAGTACTACATCACACCAAGGTTCCCCTGTACCCACTGTCTGCAGAGCATTCTCCTTTCGGTCATCACTGCTCAGCACTTCTGTATCCAGGAACAAGGAGATCTCGTCAATAGCCACAATCATAGACAAGGGTAAGTCCTGGTTGTGAATCTGCCGCTGTACAAATTCAATGAAGAGTCCTGCATTTTCTGCTACATCCTTCGGAAGGGTGTGAGCCACAGCTCGCCTGCATGGGGAGTAGGTGTCCGCAACATGAAACGCACAGCCACTCATAGGAGATCTTAACCCCCCCTCCAAAGAACGTCCTATTTTGGTGGCCTTCTGGAACAAGGTCTCCTCATTTACGGGTAACTGTTGCTCTCGTTGGGTCAGCACCCACTCAGCCAGTTTCTCCTCTGCCTCAAAGCTGAGATATTTTCCCTCTAGATTCTCCCCCTGGGAGGCTTGGAATCGACGAAGCCAACGCCGAATACGTCGCTGGGGGTTTCGGAAGTGTTCAGCTGCCTGTTCTGTATTGCAGCACAGGGCAAACAGTACTACTCGAAGCTTCTTCACAGACAGCTGCTCCTTCTTGCCAGCCCCATTGCTCCTCCACCACCTGATCTGGCTCAGGTTCCTGGTGACTGGGCTGCCTTCACTGGTCATCAACATCAGACACTCAGCCCCTTCTGTGGCCAAGGGTGGAAGGGCTAAGGTGGGTGATGGGGTTGGTGGTGGGTTGCAGTTGAGGTTGGTGATGGAGTGCTGAGCCATGGTAATTGGAGTCTTCAGGCTCAGCTGGGGTGGCCCCTGCAGATTTCACAGAGCAGCTTTGTGGGCGGGAAGAGAGGAGAGGATATATATTCTTCAAGTTCCGGTCATGCACTCGGTCACGAGTCTGGCCATGCTAAATGGGGTGGGGATGGGGAACGAAGAAAGGAAGAGAAAGATCAGTTAAACCATGAAATTTAAGTAACAGTAGTAGTAGTACTGGCAATATGAGCAAACATACTGGAAAACAGAAGTTAAATCATGAAGTGAGAGTTTTTGTTACCTTGAGTGAGATATCCAATTGAGTCCTAGAGAAAAATGAGACAATAAAAAACATTAGCTTAGTGAAGAAATAGCCTCCGAAATAAATGTCCTGGAGCCAGGTGTGGCTCAAGCCTGTAATCCTAGCTACTCTGGAGGCCTGAGTGAGAGCACTGCGTAAGCTATCCTGGGCAAAAAGTTCTTGAGATCCTATCTCAGCCAATGGCTAGATATGTTGGTGCACACCTGTCATCCCAAGCTATGAGGGAAAGTACAAAGAGGAGGATCATGGTCCACACCAGCCTGGGTATAAAGTAAAGCCCTACCTTAAAAATAACCAATGCAAAAACGGGTGGCAGAGTGGCTTAAGAGGTAGAGTGCTTGCCTAGCAAATGTGAGGCCCTGATTCAACCCCCCTGTACTGCCAAAAAAGACAGTGTCCTGGGATTTCAATCTACTACATGCAAATATATTTTTTTTTCCCCCTAGACTGGGTTTGTTCAGGGTTTGTGCTTGCAAAGCAGGCTCTCTACTCTTGAGTCACACATCCAGTCCATTTTGCTCTTTTATTTTGGAGACTGGGGAGGGGAGTCCTCATGAACTATTTGCCTGGCTAACCTTGAACTGCAATCCTCCCATCTCAGCCTCCAAGAAATACAATCTTGCATGCCAACCTTCCAGTCTCTACAAACTTCAGGCTAGAATTTTCCAATTTGGTGCACTATATCTGAACAGTGAATGGGTTACACCAGAGAAGGATGCTTCTGACTTATATAGATGACATATACCTCTCTTATACCCCGTGGCAGGATGCTGCTTGATCGTGGGAGGGTTGAATACCAAATGCTTGGCCATTGGCATCTCCCTACAGAGGTAAGCAAAGTACATGAAGTGCAGGCCAGCCTTGATTCCACTAAGAGTCAAAAGTAATAAGATAATATCTTTGAGGTTTAAACATAAGAAGTGCCCTTCCTTTTCTTTCTCTCAAATTAATCCACATAACCAACCCATCCACAAAATTAATTAAAAAATAAGTAAAAACTTAAAAAATAGAGTACCAATAAGCTTTTCATTACCTCACAGAATTTTAAACAAAGCCAAATACTTGGGGCTCTTCCGTGGAACATGATTGCTGAGAAAGACAAAAAAGAAGTGGAATGAGTTATGGGTTCTGCTGGCTAAGCTAGAGATCACACCAATGACAACGTCCAACAAGAGATGCCTCTTTCCATCCAAATCTTAATACAAGCCAGTTTTCCTATCATCATGCTTCTTAAACACTGATAAAATATGAAACTGCCTGAGAACTGGTTACAATCTACATTTTGATTCCACTCTAGGGCAGGGTGGGAATCAGCATTTCTAACAAGCTGCTAGTCCTTGAACCACACTTTATAAGTAGTAAGATCATAGGGAACTGGGCCACAGACCATCAAAGTCAATGAACATGACTTTGCCTCTTACCCTGCTAGGAGAGATGCACAAAAAAGCTCTACAGTTGAGGGAGAAAACTAGGAGCAGAGGAGGGTATGAAATGATTCTGGAGAATCTGACTCCCAAGCAGAAACACTGTCTAATTAAGACTCACTTGATCATGTGGTTGGCATAAGCTCGAGAGCAGCAGGTACTATAGCGACACAGAGAGCAGTGTACGTAAGTAGGGAAAATGATTAGGGAAATCTGGGATTTCAAAGCTGCATTCCAGACATGTCTGCCGGCCCATGACACTCCTGTTTAAAAACAAACAAACAAAACAAACAAAAAACCAGTCTCATTATTGCTTCAAGCATCCCCAAACATGGCACTTTAGACAACTGACTCTGTGAAAGGGCTATCCAATAACAGTCTATCAGGAATAACCCTGCCCACTAAGTCCCACCCGCCCAGCATTTAGAAGAAGACGCTGACATTTTCCTAACAGCTCTCTTCTGGATGTTGCGTTGGACAGGGGATAAAGGAAAACAGGCAGGGTCCGCTGAAGACGTCAGTGGTGCTGCTTCTGGCAAGGCGCTGGATGGTTGTATCGTTGGAGGATACAGGAACAGTTCGTGGCTGTCCTCGGGAGCCCGGATTTCACCTTGGAGTCAAGAGAAGGATCAATTAGATACCACCCACAGCAACCTCAGAATACTCAAAATCTCTACTCCACCCTTCCTGGGTCTGTAAAAGAAACTTTGGCAAACTCTTCACCTTGGTGCCTGGTTTCAAGCCCTCCAGCTGCTTGGGTTTACGGAAGGTTTTATGATGCTGAAGCTTGTGTTCAATTTTGTCCTTGGCAAAGAGAAACTGCAGCCGGCACTTGTTGCAGTGATAAACATTTCTCTTCTGAAAGGGTGTGTGGGGGGAAACAGATAAGAATCGTTTAAAGGTTCCCAATGAATTTTTTTCTCTGAGAAGATACATCAATGTCAACCACATCATTCTTCCCACCTTTCTGATGATAATTTAAGAAAGTAAGAAACAAACAGACAAGAAAACCTTCCACTGAGAATCATCATCTCTCATTCTCCCAAAGAAAGGGAGTCAAGACCAGGATGAGTAGGTCCTAAAACCATCTCTTACCAACTCTTAACCATTAGGACCACTAACATAAGCTTACTGGTCCCTACTTTATTGCTGCAGACAGTGCTACCTACTCCTGGACATTCTTCTTATTTTTTTTTTTTGGCTGTACTTGGGTTTGAACTCAGGGCCGGCCTTGTGCTTGCTAGACTCCCACACCTTTTTGCTTTCATTATTTTTGAGACAATATCTCACGTTTACACCTAGGCCAGCCTGGACCACAATCCTCCTGTTTATGCTTCCTACATAGCTGGGACTTTACTGAGATGGGGGTCTCGCTAACTTTTTGATGGGGCTGGCTTTGAAACTTGATCCCCCCAATCTCTGCCTCCTGAGTAGTTAAAATTATAGGCATCGAATCACCACGCCTGGCTTGAGTTTTAAAAAGACAGTAAAAGGAACATGGTAGAAAAACACCAAGTAAACAAATAAAAGAACTCATACTTTGTATTCTGTATTCTTTCATGTTTTAAGTTTGTCTTTACCTCTGGCCCCCAGTCCCTTTCCACACTAACAGCTTATTATTACCAGTTTTCCAAATATCTTTTCATGGATAGTCTATGCATATAACACATAACAAATACATTTGTATCACATGACCACATCCCTGTTTTTCTTTTCTAAACACAAATGATAATACTTGTCTGTATCTTGCTGCTTTTCTTCTAAGAGATCAATATATAGCTATATCTCCTTGTGAGACTATTTTGAGGATTCAATTTGCTTAGTACTTCAAACTTCAGCTTTGTTTCAAAAACAAAATTCATATCTATGATTTTCTTTGCTTGGATAGCAAGTAAATATAGTATCAGTCTGAATTACACGTGACAATTTCCATGCCTGTTAGGAAACATTTGTGGTGGACTATCAGCAGTCACTACTGTGAAAGAGTGTGAGTGAAGTGGGGTGCTTACAAGTGACAGCGTGCACATTTGTGTGCACATGTGTAAACAACTAGCACACGTGCACCCACCTTGTTCTCCATTTTGCATTCTCTTATATACCTTCACTCTCTTCCTCTAGTGGGTCCCTTCTTGTAGCATTTTAAATCAAGGTCATGTCTATTCCATCTTATAAACAAAATACAACAAAACACAAAATTCTCCCCTGCTACTTACTTCTTGGCCCCTGGGTCTACCACCCTTTGTCCTCTTCATACACAGACTTCTTTAAACAAGTTGTCTTTACTTCCTTTCCTCTCCGTACTACTGCTAAAATTTAACTTTCACCCTACCAACAAAAGGGCTCTTTGTCAATGCTGCTAAACTTAAGGGTCTATCTCTATGTTATTTTGCTACTTTCCTGTAACAGGTGACATTTTGATCACATCCCTTTCTTCCTCTCAGCTTCCTTGGCACAAAGACTCTTGCTTCCTCCTCAGACTATGGTGCTGGCTTTGTGGAAAGAGACTTCAAGGATCCTAAGCCTTCACCTTATTCTCACACTTAAAAATCCAGACTTTTCTTCCAGCTTTCAAAACTATTACCAAGCAGTTACACTAAATGTCCACAGATACTGCTAACTCAGAATGTCAGAATGTCCCTAAATTATAATCTTCCTCTACAAATTTACTTTGTTCAATGTTTCTATTTTAGTAAACAGTCCTATCATTCATACAGTTGCCAAAGGCAGAAACTTAGGGTGCCTTTTTTTTTTTTTTGAGACAGGGTCTCATAACCCAGGCTGGCCTCAAACTCAATCTTCCTGCCTGGCCTTCTGAGCACTATTCTTAACTACTCCTTTGCTACTTTTACCTAATCCATCTATAAATCATAAGTTCCACCTATCTTCACAATATCTACTAAATTCTATCCTCTTTTCTTCATTTCAAAAGCCAAAAACCACTGTCATCTCTCATCTACACTACTATATGCTGCTATCTTTTGGCTAGTCTTCTTAAAGGAGACTAAGTCTGGCCTTAATCTCCTTTAACCCATTCTCCTCAGGATAGCCAGTATAAAATCTTAACTAAAAACAAATCTGAACACATCATGCCTGGGCTTAAACTTATGTAATGGCTTCTCAGTGACTGTTTTTCATGACTTATTATAAGATCCCCTATCATCTATCCCTGCTAACTTTCAACCCCCACCTTGTATTTTAGTCTACACTGAACATCTACATCTCTTAATTTCCTGAACTTCCAGTCTTGCCCTGTGCCTCGGCTACATTATTCTCCTGTCCTATTTTATCTGGCTCTCATTCTTATTCATCCTTCAGGCCTTCTATTCCTGGAAGCCCCCCCACCCTGTCCCACAGATTCCAGATGAGGAATATTTTTTTTTATATCTTATATTTGTAACACAACACTTGTCACATTTTACTGTACTACTGTTTAGTAGTACACTAAATCTCTAGTACCTAGCATAGAGTATGGCACATAACTGAAACTGAGTAATTTTTCCAAACACATGTATTTTATCTTCTCTACCAAAATTATTTGCCTAGTGCAGCCCTGGCCCCAGCATCCATAAATTAGACAAATGAGAATATAGGAATTGCTTGGTGTCTGGTACCTGGTGTCTCATGTAATGCTGTTGGAATGCATTGCCATTTTTGAAGACCTTCAGGCAATAAGGGCAGAGCAAATGCCGGGTATCCTCATGGATCATCCGAAAATGGACATCTACCTCAGAGTAGAGTGAGGAACGATATTGACACACCTGAATCACATAAGAGGAAAATAAGGCTAGGAGTGAACAACTGAGGCCTTAAAAAAGAGAGAGCAACAAAAAACTTTAAATATGAAAAAAAGATTTCCTACATGCACAGAAATTTTTCTCTGACTTTGTAATGCAGGTCTGGTATATGTGTGTGATAAGTTTAGAAGTGACATTAAAAACAGGAAAAGATGGGAAAACCCAAGAACAATCTAAATTCAGTAGTTGAGAATAAAACCATTCTCTGTCCATCTTCAATGGGCAAGTTCAGGAGACAAACACTGTCTTAGTATATGTACACGTTTCCTGGATAGGTAGGTATACCTGTGGTTATATTCTTTTCTATTTATTTTCTATTTTTTCTCCTTTATGGAAAAAAATCCTAATAACAGAAACTGTGTTTATTATTTCTTTTATATCTCTTCAGAGGTCCTACACTGAATGTGCAGTAGGTATTTAGCAATATTCATTAGTGGATTCTTTGCATTCAGCCCAACAGCAAAATGATTACAACTCCCTGGAGAAAAAGGCAATACCTGACAAACATAAGGCATCTCTCCAGGCTTATGAGTATCCTTCATATGCTGGAGAAATAGTGGCTCACTTTCAAATGCCCACTCACAGATCTTGCACTTTGCTGTAAGAAGAGAAATAATCAGTAAATTCACCTGAAAGTAAGACCAAAATCCTTGTAATCTTACTTCTGACTCTATCTTCATTTTCAATAGTCAATAAATCGTAGTCTCTCTCTACTCTTTCTTTGAAATGGTTCCTTTGGCCTTAACATTTGCAGTGCTGGTAACAACCTATGTCTCTAGCCCAGATTTCTTACCAAAATTCCATTCTAGATTTTGAACATTTAAATTGGACATTCTATCTTCAACTCTAACTTAATTCACATTCTCTTGCTTACCATTTTCCCCCTTCTCACTTTCTCATCTTTTCTAACTCAAAAGTTAGGTACTGTCTTGGACTGCATAGCCATTTGCTATAACCATTATTTCAAAGTGATCTAGGAATTATCACTTTCTACCAAGAACTTAGTAGAAATCCATGAATCCCTGCAGCTTATCAACTGGCTTCCAATACCTACTATCTCTCCAATAAACCTATACTGTATCCATTCCTTACATATCACTGTTGAATGAATTTTTTTTTTTTTTCGGTTGTACTGTGGTTTTCAACTTGGCCTCATGCTTGTAAGGCAGGTACTATAATATCACTTGAGCCATACCCCAACCCTGATTATCTCCTATGAATGAGTAATTCAGCAAACATTCATTGAACACCTACTGAGTACAAATAAGAATTTGTTCTCAAAAGACCTGACAATCATGAACAGATGTTCTTGTCTTATTATGTGTCATTTCTTTTTCTGAATTGATACATTCAAGATAATTATACTTTGAAACTGGCCATTTTGTGAAGCTTATTTAAAAGATGCAATTCTCAACTTCAGGTAAAAATTTTAATTGCTTCATAATTTGAATTATAAAGTATGCCTCTCAAAGGGTATATTTATTTGTATTTTTCTACTTTCAGTGGAATTATTTTCAAGTTTTTACAAATACGAAATTGTAGACATAAAATTTTAAGCATTTGCTGGACAAAAACCAACTAAGTGATAGGATGTTGAAATAACTGTTTTTCTTTTCTTCAACTATTTTTTTTTTTGGTGATATTCGGATTTAAATTCAGGGTCTTGTGCTTATCATTTGAGCCATGTCCCCTGAAATAATTCTTTAAAACAAACAGATGTCAAGGGTTCTTAATCTGGGGTCTGTGGAACATGACTCAGAAAAGCCAGATATCCTCTGAAATTATTTGTAGAAGAGCAAAATATCTATTTTTTCAGGAGAGTTCACAGGTTTTGTGTTTATTGTCAAAGGAGCCTGCAACCAATTTAGAACTACTATGTAGAGGTTTTTTAGGTACTACAAGGACAGACCTAAGTAAGAAATTCTGCCTTATAGAATGAGGAAAAGCTATTGAACCTTCAAAGAATGGGGACTGCAAGACAGAGAAGCCAAGAGAAGCAGGAGAAAAAGACATGAAGGTAGGGAAGGTTTGGGAAAGTTAACCAGAAGCATCACAGTATTTTTTCCTCTTCATCCTACCTCTCAATTTGCTTATCTCCTTTGATCTTTTTGTCTCTTCTTTTCTAGTACACCTTTTATTAGTGTTAGTGCTGCTTTCCACCTTCTGTCCAAACCTTTCTTACTGTCTTCTCTGGGCAATCTCAAGGCTTTTCCTACACAGCTCTAATGTCTCAGTTGTCACACATCAATAATAAAAGCAACATTAATGCAATTTCTAATGCACAAGTACATTAAAATTTACATGTATTGTATCATATGAAGATAATTAGTAAGACAGGAACCCAAGATATCACAATTTAAGAGAACTCTAGTAACCTGTGATACATCAATTTTATATATGAAGGAGCTGATATGGAAAGATATTCACAAGAGGGAGAATGGCTCCCAGTGCTACCCTAACACTATGCCTCCCAGCATCTTCACCATGACTTCCTTAACACCTATCATTTGCCTTACTTTGAGAAAACAGGCATAAACTACAACAGTTTCTGCTTCCTGTTCTCCTGATTATGGAAGAATAGATCCCTTATGCCTTTTTAAGACTCATCCCAATGACACCTGACCATGGTTAAACCTCCTAAAGCAACCCTCCCTCAATCTTATCTCATCCTCAGTCTACTGTTCTTTCCTCTTTTCACCAAAAGTAGACTCTTTTCTTTGAATGATTAGAAGACTAACCTATGTTACTTTTAAAGCATGCTAAGGACATAGGGGCAGTGATACCAGAAGAAATAATGTTAGAATATTTGGAAAAAATGTACTTAAGATAGCCTCTAAGGAAAACAGGAATATGATTTGCACCTCCAAGACTAAGTACATACATGCAAACTGCACATACATGCAAAAGTGTGTATATGGTGTCAAAGGGTTGACAGGATACCTTACAACCAAGCAGGTTAAGATTTCTTATAACATAGTATGTACAAGGCCCTGATTTCTAGTATTGTTAAAAAAACAAAAACAAAAACAAAACAAAGAAATAGTAAAAAAATAAGAACCGCACAAATTCTTTAAAGTCACACATTGCCCTGGAACAGTGTGAAGTAAAACAATGCTATTAAGATTATACTGCCAGCCACAATTAATATTATGAATCAGTGAAATTTTCAGGACAGTTCAAAAAATTTGAAAATGAACTAGATATCAGATCAGGTGTGTTAAAGACTTATAATTAATTAATTATGCCAGATCCTTTGGCTATAGATACAGAAAAATATCCTTATTTTTTTAGAGATACATTTGGAGAAGAAATGTCAGGATGTCTGAAATTTAATAAAAAACACTTCCCAAAACAAAATGGAAAAAAATTTTTTTTCTCCAAAATGAAAAAGCAAAGAGTTTCAGCTGAGTGCAGTGGCTCACACCTGTAATTCCAGTTACTTGAGAGGCAGAGACAGGAGAATTACAGTTCCAGGCCAGCCTGGGGGTGTGGGGGGAAGGGAGTCAGACCTTGTCTTAAAGAACAAGCTGGGCATGGTGGTGCACTGCTGTAATCCCACCTATGGGGGAAAGCAAAGCAAGACTGCAGTCTGAGGCCAATCCTTGGCAAAAGCATGAGACTCTATCTGAAAAACAACTGAAGAAAAAAGGGTTGGGGTTGTGGCTCAAGTGATAGAGGACTTGTCTAGAAAGCTTGAGTCCCCCCCCACTTCAAAAAAAAGGAAGAAAGCAATGAATTCAAAAATTTTAGCATTAAAAACTAATCTATTTTGTGCTGGATCTGTCATGGGTACAAAAAAGGAAGTTGCAAATGAATCTAAGTATGAAATTGATATATAGTAAGGAAAGGTATTATCTGATTGGATCAACAATTTCTTAATTTTTTTTTTTTTTGCAGTACTAGAACTCAGGGTTTCGCACTAGGTAGGCGCTCTACCACTTGAGCCACACCTACAGCACTAATTTCTTAAGTTTTTGTATAAATTTTAAGACACTCAAAAATTAAAGGTCAGGGATAACAGTTGGAAGCAAAGAGAAAAAGATCAAGTAGAGTCTGCACTATTTCTTTTCCATGAGGAAAAACTTATCTTTCCTATGTGGAACCCAATATGTAAGTGAAATGAGGAAAACCTACCCAACCAGATTATATATAAAAATGAGCTAGGAGGCTGTGGATGTAGCTTAGTGGCAGAACACTTGCCTAGAATGTACAAGGCCCTGGGTTTGATCTCTAGCACTGAAGGGGAAAAAAAGAGTGACAGAGAAAAGAGCAAGGTGTTTTTGAACTGGGAGGTTTGAGTGAGCTATTCTACCTTCACATCCACATCATCTGACAGTGAAGAACATGGGGTCCTAAACTAGACCAAATTGGCTACTATGGCATCACACTATAATGTCACAATGATTGGTTCCAGTATCTATTCTACTCCCAAATGATTAGTCCAAAGTTCCACAGTCCAATATGTAAGCCATCAGCAATATGAGGCAACTGAAAACTTGAAATGTGGTAAGACCAAACTGAAATTTCTATTTCAAAAAATCTGTTGCTTAATGGAAAAAAGGTAAAGAACGTAATGTTAAATATCTCAATTTAAAATTTTGAGTACGTGTTGAAATGATATTTTAGAAATATTGAATTTAAACTATACTTTAAAAATGTTATATCTGTTTATTTGTTTTTTTCTCCCTACTTTAAGAATGGGCCTGATCTGATTATATCCAAGGAGATATAAAGGGAATGCAATTCTTACTCATAACAGACTCAAGAGAGAGATGAAGATGTGATCTTTTTGTGTCTAGACAATTCTGTGTCCAGACGTAGTATTTGAGACTAATACAGCCACCCTGCTATGAGCCACAGATAAGAGCACCACTGAGAAACAGCGAGGCAGTCAATTTCTGGGTTTAAAGTCTGATTTCTACCTCTAGATCTCGCATTTAAATACTGTAATAGATGTCCTTATTATAAATTCATTTTTAGTCAAAAATTTTAATTTATAGCAAACGAACCCAGATAACATGCATATTTGTATTTATGCTTTTGATAATGCTGTTTCCATTCACCTTAAAAGCTTTTCTTACTAATTCCCATTTCTCTATATCATTTCTAGATTTGAACCACTACTTTCTATGAAAGGTAGCGAGAAGATCTTTTCCCATCTCTGAATTATTTTATTCTATTACTGGTATCATACTGGGCATTTGTTTATAATATACTGTCCTGTTAGCCCAAGTTATATATAAGTTAATTATATAAGCTCCTATACTTACATAATTTTATTACATAATTTTAACAAAACTGAAAATCCCTTAAAGAACATTAGAAATATTCTAAATACTGGGTTCAAATTCTCACCATGTCAACTCAATAGAAGTGTATGTTCTTAAGTAAATGAGCTTGTGTTCAGTATTGTTTCCTCTTCTGTAAGATACACAATGTAGGCAGCACTCCACCCCATCATACATTTCACTGAAAATACTATCTTAATGGGAAAGTACTTTAAGTCATGCTTGTAAAAAAACAGGGTAAGTGAAGTAAAGAGAGGGCTACAAATATGCAAAGTACTCCTCTACACTGTTACTCACATAAATATAATGGGCTCCCCTGTGGTACCATTCAGTGAGTGAACAGTAAGGTATATCCCCCTAGAGTTTTGAGAGTTTCCAAACTTACTAGTAGATTCATAGGGACTATGAACATTTTCCAGGTGGCACTGGAGCTGGAAGGGAGTAGAAAACTGGCGGTAACAGTGTTGGCAGATAGTATGACCATCCACCTCACCATTCTGCTGATCAAGTTCTACATGGTGTTTCATATGGTTCATGAATCTGTAGCATAATACAAAGTACAGAAAGCAAAATCAGTAGCCTTTGAGAAATATAATGGTAGAATCATGAACAAACATTACTTACTCTCCTTCCTCAACTTCCTGTTTGGAATAGTCCTTTCCTGAGCCCAGAAAAGTAACAGGTTCTTGAAACTGAAAAGAATTCTATGGAAGGAGATCCACGGTTTTCCCTTACTTTACCCAGAGTTGTATTTTATTACCACAATAACTCTGGTCTACAGTACCATTTACTGACTACCGCCCCCCCTCCCCCCGAAGACTGCACTATAGGACCCCCCCCAACCCCTACCCTTTTTTTTTTTCAGTACTGGGGTTTTTCTTTTTTCTTCTGGTGGAAGGGGGGTTTGAACTCAGGGCCTCATGCTTGCTAGGCAGGTGCTCTTACCACTTGAGCCACTCTGCCAGCCCTTTTTTGTGATGGACTTTTTCCAGGATAGTCTATTTTCCTGGGGCTGGCTTTGAACTGTGGTCCTCCAGATCTCTGCCTCCTGAGTAGCTAGGATTACAGGCAGGAATCACCAGCACCCAGCTTAATGGGGTTTGAAACTCAGGGACTTATGCTTGCAAGCAGGTGGTCTATCATTTGAGCCATGCCTATGGCCCTTAAAACCCTTTTGCAAAGAGAAAGACTTAAGTATTTTTAAAAATTTAAGTCTTCTTTTGTGCAAGGTAACCTCCAAGGCTCTTCAAACACTTACCGAATGTTGTTTTTTAGCCTTTTGGTACAATGGGGGCATCGGAAAGATGTGGCGACCTTAGGAAAGCTTGTGAGTTGGGCTACTTTTCCACCATCCCGTCCATAGTAGAAGTCATCTACTAGCATAATGAGCTTGGTTTGGACAGCATCACCAACACTCTCATTTGCTTCTGGTACTTTGGTAGGTGGTGAAAGAGCAGGAATAGGTGTAGAAGAAGGTGTGGAAGTAACAGGAGCTGTCTTCTCAGGGGATGGTGGCTTTGCTGCTGATGGGATACTGGGTTCTGAATCCAAGGACTTTCCTTTCTTCTGGTATTCAACCATTTCTGGGCAACAGTACTATAAAGAAAGATAACTTCTGGTCATTCTGGTTACCCTAGGAGGATAGCTAATTCCTTAACTTCACTAACAGTCCCTGTAATGGTTTTGTTACTATAAATGATAAGGTACTATTTTTTTTTTTTAAAAGACAGATCCCAGGGTGGGGGCAGGGGGGAGAAATAAACCAAGCCTTGTATGCACATATGAATAATAAAAGAAAAATGAAAAAAAAAAAAAATAAAAAAAAAATAAAAGACAGATCCCACTCGTTACCCAGGCTGTTCTCTTTGGCTCAAGCAATTCTCCTCCCTCAGCCTTCCAAGAAGCTGGGTGTACACATAACACCGTATCTGACTTGGTATTAAGGTCTTCTTATCTAGCTTTAGCCCTTCAGTTTTCTCCATACTGTTTCCAGGTTTTGCTTTTTTTTTTTTCTAGTGTTGATCCAGTCATATATTCCTGAGTACTATACCTTACATTTCTCCCTCCCTTCTGTCTTAGATCCCTTAACCCCTCATTAGTATTATTTAGCTCTGAGCTCCCTGGCAGAAAGAAGTTTTAACCCTTCCATTTGGAGCAATACCAAAAAATGAGAACGACTAGGAAATGGGAACCAGGTAAATTTCTGATTTACCCAATGACACAATTAATAGTTACTGAAGTCAACATGGTTTGAGTTCTTATCTAGTGACCCTGTCTTCATGTGCAGTTTCAAATCTGCCACACTAAGAAGGCTACATATTTTCTGATCTATTGAAGGTCTTTAAATATATCCTATGAGATTCCAAAGTACATAGCTCTTCTAAAACAGACTAAAAGGGAGACACATTTTTAAAAAGTTTCCAAGTCAGTTTAGAGTCCCTGCTTGTCAGGCTCCCAATATTAAGGGAGGACTACAGCAGTAGTCACTTAAGCTGGATCCTTATTACAGGCTGTATCACTTACACACATGTGCCCTCTCAAAGCTTCAGTAACACGGAATTGAGCATTACACCGTGGACATATTTTCCGTCCACCATCCTGGAGGTCAAACACTGGAATGGAAGAGGCCACTGGAAGAAAAAGAATTGATAAAATTAATATGATACTGAACAGCACTAAACATTCCGAGATGAATATCCAAAAGTAAACAAGCATGTGAGATCATTGTGTTTAAGGCTAATTCCTTTTACTGTTCTTCTAACTCTAGGCCAGGGGTTGGCAAACCAGAGCCCAGCTGCCAGTTTCTGTTTGGTCCATGAGATAAGAGTGGCTTTTATAGTATCTTTATCATCATTAAGGCTTTTCTTTTTCTTTTAAAAAGAAAAATGTGTACATACATACACACACACACACACACACACACACACACACACACACACACACACACACACACACACACACACACTTTGGCCTTGAATTCACAATCCTCCTGCCCCAGCCTCCAGAGTTCTGAGGTAATAGGTGTGTCCCACTATGCCTGGCAGACTTTTTTGTTTTTAATCATAAAAAAAAAATTTAGCCAGGTGCCGGTGGCTCATGCCTATAACCGTAGCTACTCCGGAGCCAGAGATCAGGAGGATTGTGGTTCGAAGCCAGCCTGGGCAAATAGTTCTGCAAGACCCTATCGCAAAAAACAAAAAAAAGCTTCACAAAAAAGGGCTAGTGAAGTGGCTCAAGGTGTAGGCCCCGAGTTCAAGCCCCAGTACCACCAAAAAAAAAAAAAAAATTTTAGCATCTCAGCCATTTTTAATGTATGCTTTAGTTATATTAAGTACATTAACGTTGTTGTATTTCCAGAACTCTTTTCAACTCACAAAACTTTTTTTTTTTTTTGTGGAACTGGGTTTGAACTCAGGACTTTGCACTTGCAAAGCAGGCACTCTACCACTTGAGTCATGCCTCCAGTCCACTTTGCTGTGGTTATTTTGGAGATGGGGGGTCTCACAATCTATTTGCCCAGGCTGGCCTTGAACCTCAGTTCTCCCAATTTCAGCCTCCCAAGTAGCCAGGATTATAGGCATGAGCCATGGGCAGCTGGCAAAACTGAAATTCTTGTGCCCATTAAAAAAACAACTGCTCATTTTTCCTGGCCAACAACCATTGTTCTCCATGAATATGACTATTCTGGGTACCTCAGGAAAGTGGAATCACATGATATTTGTACTTTTGTGACTGGCTTATTTCACTTAGCATAATGTCCTCACAATTTTCCATGTTGTCACATGTCAGAACTAACTTCTGTTTTAAACCTGGTAATATTTTATCCATTCATTAGCTGATGGATATTAGGGTTACAGTTATTGTGAATAACACAGCCATGAACATGGGTGCACAAATATCTGTTCTAGTCACTGCTGTCAATTCTTTTGGATATATACCTATAAGGAGAAATTTTACAGCACATGGTTATTTTAAAAACTTTTTTGAGGAACCATCATACTGTTTTCCCATAATGACTATACCACATTATATTCCTGCCAATAGCACAAAAAAAATTCCAATTTTCCCACATCTTCACTAACATTTGTTATTTTCTGTTTCTTTTTGATTTGGTAGTTATCATCCTACAGGGTATGAGATGGCATCTTACATGGTTTTGATCTGCACTTCCGTCATGACTGTGATGCTGATTATCTTTCTGTTTACTGGACATTTTATACATTTTTGGGGGGAAATGTCTCTTCCAATCCTTGCCCATTGTTCCCTGCTGGGGATGGAATACAAAGCCTCATACATTAGACAAGCCCATGTAGGCAAGCACCCTGCCAATGAACTACATCTCCAAGCACCCTGTGCCTCTTTTTTAATTGGGTTGTTTTCTGTTATTGAGCTGTAGGAAGTCTTTATGTATTCTTGATAGTAACCCTTAACAATTTTCTTGATAGTAACCCTTAACATTTAAAGTTTAAATATTTTCTCTCATTCTGTAAGCTGTTTTTTCACTGTGTTGATAGTATTCTGTGTACGCATGGTATATGCATATGTGTGTGTGTTGGGTATTTTCAAGATAGGGTCTTGTGAACTAGGTGCCTTTGAAGAGCAATCCCACTGATTTTTACATCTTTGCCTTCTGAGTAGCTAGGATTACAACAGGCATGAGCCACCAGTGCCTGGCTAATATTTTTTAAATAGCTGAAATAAAAGTAAAAGAATGTAATTTTTTGCGACATGAAAATTATATGAAATCCAAATTTCCAAGTCCAAACACAGTTTTAGCAGAGCACAGCCCAGTTCATTCATTTATGTATTCTCTGAACCTCTTCTACAATGGTACAGCTGAGCAGTTGTGACAAAAGCCATATTGCGTACAAATCCTAAAATACTTACACAAGACCTTTTACAGAAAGTTTGCCAACCCATGTTCTAGACCACTGAAAACACCCTCACACACTTATCCTTTCCCATCTGAAAACATCTCTACCAAATTCCAACTTTAAAGACCATGGAGGAAATACATGTTCTCTAGGAAACCACCTGTGATTTTCCTATCCATCGCTGATCAATCCACTACTCTACAATCCGGAAGCAGAGTTATACAGAATTCCTTGTAGCTGATTCAGCGACACTTTTTACAAGTGGCTACCTCCTTTACTAAGTTTCAGTAAGAACAAATTAAAGCAACTATATTCAGTTTCTCTACTTTAGAACATAAGAGTTCTGATGCAACAAATACTTTATGAATGTACGCTCAAGGTCTCTCTGGTTATCGTACCTTTCATTGTAGATTCAGGACCGCTGGTTCTTTGAGCACCATGGGCAGAACTGTTGTTGGATACCACCAATGGCCCAGGACTTTGACCCAGGGAAGGGATGGTATTAAGGGTATTCACCAATTTGGCCACTTCATTGCTATTTTCACCGGTAACCCCAGGTCGCTTCACAGTGACAAAGCTGGCAATGCTCACTGCAGGTGGAGAGGGGAAGGAGGGAGCTACATTGACCAAGTGACAACCATCTGTTACCCACCCACTACCCCATCCTGGTCTGCCATCTCCTCTCCCCAAGCCTCACCTAGCTTGGGATTTGAGGTCTGGTTGGACTGGCCTGGAGGCTGAACAGCTAGTTGCCCCAATGAGGTTGGCTGCGTGGCAGTGGGAGTTGTGGATGTGCTGGGAGTGGACTTGGTCTGCTGTGACTGGGACTGTGGGACAGTGCTCCGAATGGTGAGAGTAGCTGGGATGACAGTGGTGAAGGTGTTGGTGGTTGGCCTCACAGGCATCGTGGAGCCTGGCCTCACTGGGGTCATTTGAGAGAACACTTGCGGGACTCCAACTGTTGGCTTAACAAACTGCGTACCTGGGGCTTTTGAAAGAGAGACAGAGAAAAGTACCAAATCTTGGTCAATGAGTTCACCTACAATATATTCTCTTGCCTTTACTAGAAAATACTAGAATAGGAAAAAATTATTTCCCCAAACTGATTGGTGACCTGTATAGACCTGAAAATCTAAGAAAGTAATAGGTGTCCCAGCAGCCAAAAGAATTTATGCTAAGTAACCTAAAAGTATTAAGCTGAAGATGCTTCCCCTTGACTCCTGCCAAAACAACTTACCACACCACCATTTTTATTCTAAGAATACTATCAGTAGCTTGACCTTGGTACTAGAAAAGTGGGATACTGGTGTCTATAGGCCAAAGGGCAGACTTGGTCCTGAAAAAAAGGATTCTTCTTTCTCAGAACACTAAAGGAATGTTCCATTGTCTTTTATAAACTCAAATAGAGAACAGACTATATATCATTCTACGAGGATGTCTCAAAGGAGAATGTCTCTTGGCACAATTGTAGACAATTCCAATGAGAAATATTTAAGAAATACCAGAATATGGCAGGGTAAACCAATCAGATTATGTCCAAAAAACCCCAAAAAACCCCAAAAACCCATGGGCTCCGAGAGCACACACAAAAATAAAAACAAAAAAGTCTACTGGTATGCTTACAAACAACTAAATTAAATTCTTTTTTTTTTTTTTTTGGCCTGAGTTATAGAAAACTTAACACATAAAAACTGTAGGGATTTAGAGGAAAATTATAAATGTTTTTTTCTTTTTGAGGTGCTAGGAATTGAACCCAGGGCCTCATGCATATTAAGAATGAGCTCAACAACTGAGCTACATCCACAACTCCAAGATTCTTTAATATTTTATTATCTAATCATTGGTAGTGTTATCCTCAAAGGATATATCATTTGTTTAATTTATATCTAAAAATCTATGCTATAAAATTGAAGTAAAATAAAATTTATAATCCTACCATTTAAGTTGAGTACATACTCACAGCATGTTTGAGATTTGGGGAGTCTGCATTAATTATATTCTTTTAAGATAACAAACTTAATAGCTGGCTAAAATTTTACAGGTATAGAAAATGACTAGAAAAAAAAAAAGACTAGATATACTCTGTCTTACTACCTCATGAAGGGTAGTGAAAAGCTAAATAGAAAAATAAATAAAACCACCACACTGGCCAAAGGTTAAAAAGTTTTGTTTGTTTTTTAAACTGGGCTTTAAATCATAAAGATTTTAAAAAGTATTTTATTTAATACACTTTTTTAAATGACCTAGAGTATTTCTGAAACAATAAAAACAAATCTTCTGGTGCCAGTTTATTCCAAATGGATAGACATTTTCCTTACCTGGGACTAGTGTAATTGGTCTAACTGTTTGGCCTTGCTGTACGTTCAGCACAATCCCAACCTGATTCATTGCATTTTGTACAGGCCGAACATTCCTTACAGGAAATCCCTGTATTAAAAAGCAAAACGATCTTTAACATGGAGAGCAACTAACACTAACATTGACTGCAGTATGACCTACATCCAAAAAAATTCCCACACTGTTATCTAATGGTCTTTTGTCTAGATTTAGAACTTTCAAATGACTGAGATGGAAAAATTTAAGAAATTCTGGCAAACTCTTATTTGGTTGGGGTTCTTTTTTCTTTGTAGTTGTTGTTATTTGTTTTTGAGACAGACTCTTGCTGTATAGCCCAAGTTAGCTTAGAACGTCTTATGTAGCCCAGGCTGGCCTCAAACTTGTGACCCTCCTATTTAGCAAACTTCTGAGTAATGAAACTCAAAACTGGATGAGTCAAAAGAAAGCTTACTTCCTGACTTAAGAGAGCCTTGGCTTAAAAATCTGAATCCATACTGGCCTCTAAACCGCTAAAAGCACAGAAGGGAAAAAAAAACACTAGCAGTAGTCACTGGAGTGATTGCAGAAACTGTTCCCAAAGTCCATTTTAAAAGTCATAAAGTTCTGGCAAATTAATAAGCGCAGATTTTGTAAGTCAGAAAGCCAAAGGGGAAAAGCATTTGCCTATAGATTCTACATTCTAGGCTTTCAACTTTAAATCAGTACATTATACATCAAATAAGTTGTTTTCCTTCTCTTTCAAGGATCACTAATTTCATATATAGAGCTATGAAGGTCAATTAACTTATGCCATGTGAAGAAAAGCAAATCAAGTAAAGTGTAAGAAGGTTTGAGAGACAAGTGTGAAGGCTTCCTGATGCTAGCTTTTCCACTAATTTCTGCCCAGACCTTAATTAAGTCAATTAATAAACCTCTAAGGGATATGAACAGAAAAATATCACCCAGTCATAATGCTATGTTGGGCTTACCACAAAAGTCAGAACCAAATTATTAAACAGTAAATGAGAAGCCCAGTCAAAAGACAAGACATATGATCATTTCTTTCTTTTCTTTTGGGGGTACTGGAGTTTGAACTTAGGGCTTCAAGCTTTACTAGACAGACACTCTACTACTTGAGCTATTCCGCCAGCCCCTCATGATCATTTCTAATGGCACTGAAGACTGTCTAAATCAGAACCTCCAAAGATTCACAAAGTCTTTCTTTGTCCCAGAATTCAGAGTCCCACTCACCTGTGTAGTGATGAATATTGGTTGTGAGGCCACAGGGGAACTAGTGACATGATTGGCATTCTGCATGACCTGGACAGGCCTCAATACTGGTTGAGTAACCATGGTTCCCAGACCTGGTGTGGGATTCTGGGTCAGAATGAGTGGCTGCCCACCTTGCTGGACCAAAGGATTGCCAGCTAAAAGGTAAAAGGAAGAAAAAAGGAAAATAAAACAAAAAAGTTAGAAACACTGCTAAACAATGTTTTAACTAGGGAAGAAAGATCCATTGCTAATGAGTCAAATATAAGAAATTCAACACTTTCTAAACAATCATTGTCTTTTATAGGTATGGGAAATATATAAACTGTGTTACCTACTTTCCGTAATCAAAAACTAACCCACTCCAAATGGAAATGATATGACTTCAGAAGACTCATTCATGAATAAGTATTAATGTAAATAAATATTAATAAACTGGGCTAATTATGGAAATATTTTAAGTTCTTTTCATTTTGTGAGAGAAGGAATTTTATAAATGTTCTTAAGTACTCTATTTCATTAATTTGGCTAAAAAATTATTAATACTGAGCTTTCTTATTTACAAAGAATATTTAAAACCAGATAAAAATTTCAGAGATATATCTAAGCCAAAAGCTCATGTAAAAATATTTTATTGAGTTGTATTAAAAATACAATTTTTTATCCCAAGTAACCAGAATGAGATGGGTGCCTCTGAAAGTTATTTTCTACTTGACAGATGGAGTTATGAAGGTAGATGACCAAAGAGTAGGTATAGATGACAACTAATGGTCCAACAGTAGCTTCTCCCCACACTCTCAGAAGGAGAAAGCTCATCAGTAGACTAGACCCTTAGTTACTGGGCTAGCAGACTAGTAATTGTAGAGGTTAACAGATAAAACAAAAAAAAAACCCAAAAAATCCAAACTTTATCTATGCTAACTAGACTGACAATTTCTTGATATACACTTATATATGTAATTTTAAATGTTTTATTATAAACTAGTTCAAACACATACAAAAAAACCCACCTAGGGCACCAGTGGCTAACATCTGTAAATCTTAGCTATTCAGGAGGCAGAGATCAGGAGGATCGTGGTTCAAAGCCAGCCTGGGCAAATAGTTCCATGAGACCCTATCTTTAAAAAAACCATCACAAAAAAGGCTAGTGGAGTGGCTCAAGGTGTAAGCCCTGAGTTCAAATCCCAGTACCCAAAACAAAAATAAAACAGTATGATAAATGCCCACATTCCCATCACCTACCTTCAATAATTATCAATTCATGGCCAATCCTGCTGTACCTCCCACTCATTTACAAATTCTCATACTATTTTGAAACAAGTTTTAGAACATATCATCTGTAAATATTTCAGTATTTCTTTTTTTGTTTTCCTTTGGGCAGTACTAGGGTTTAAACTCAGGGCCTCACTCTTGCTAGGAAGGAACTCTACCACTTGAGCCACAATATATATCAATTATTTATTTATGTAAGATAAAGAAAAAGTGAAATCACTCCTAAAAATATAAATAATTCTTTAATGTAAAATACTCAGAATTCAAATTTGAAGTTGTGTGTATTTTTCAGAGCTTGACTAACTCAGGTTACAAAGTACAATTAATGAGCATATCTATCTCTTAGTGTTCAATATTACAGGTTCTGTCCAGCTCTTTTTATACCTTTGAAATTAATGGCTGAAGTCTGGGGGATGTAGTTAAAGTGGCAGAGCACTTGCCTAGCAAACAAGAGGCCCTGGGTCTAATACCCTCCCAAAAAAGAAAATAGTCAAAAAATATGTACTATAAAAGATATATTTTCTAGTCGTTAACTTAAGTGCCAGGACTTATTTCTTATTTACTTTTAACCTAAAAGTTCTTAAGATAATCATTGCCTCAACAACCTAATTAAACATAGGAAGAGCTGGACGCCAGTGGCTCATGCCTGTAATCCTAGCACCCAGGAGGCAGAGAACAGGAGGATTACAGTTCAAAGCCATCCCAGGCAAATAGTTCTCAAGACCTCATCTTGAAAATAACCAACATAGAAAACAGTTGGCAGTGTGTCTCAAGTGCTAGACCACCTGCCTGTCTAGCAAGTGTGAGGCCCTGAGTTCAAACTCCAGTACAGCAAAAGAAGAAAAAAAAAAAGGAATGGCAACAGAAGGGCTGGGGGTATATGTAACTCAGTGGAACAGCACATGCCTAGCATGTAGAAGGCCCTGGGTTTGATCCCTAGCACTCAGGGAAGGGGAAAAAAGAATGCTAACAGGGGCTAAACAATAATAAAGCACTTGCCTAGCAAACCTGAGGCCCTGAGTTCAAACCCCCATACCATACACACATACACACATGCACAGTAAGAATGCTAATCCAATGTTTTCAGTAAATATTCTCTCTCACATAAGGGTTGTTTTTAAATTTTGGTAGATTAAGACTTTACCAAAAAAAAAAAAAAAATGAGTTTCTAAGTCCAGATTAGATCCATGATTCAATAGAAAGGCAGAATATGGCAGCTCTTACTGGGTACATTAAAATATACTTATTTAGAATAAACATTTAGAAGTACTTTTATTTTAGAAGTTATTTTATTTATTTATTTATGGAAGGACTGGGTTCTGAACTCAGGGCCTCTCACTTGCTAGGCAGGCAAGTGAGAAGCATTACTTTAGAAGCATTTTAAACAATTTCTACAATCTTAGCCTTTCATCAAAGAAATTCTGGTGATTCAGATGTCTTACAAAGTTCTACTTCTAGAGGATGAGAGAGGCAATCAGAATTCTGGGGCTTAAAAAAAAGAGCCTTTAAGCTGGGCACCAGTGGCTCACACCTATAATCCTAGCTACTTAGGAGGAGACAGAGATCAAGAGGACTGCAGTTCAAAGGCAGTCCGGGGTGTAGGCCTTGAGTTCAAGCCCCAGTACCTCAAAAAAACAAACAAAATGCAAAACAAAACAAAAACAAAGAGTCTATAAGAGAATTATACAATCACATATGTGGCTCTAAGTCTATTTTCATATAAACTAAGTACCACTGCCATAAACTAAATAAGGAAAAGAGACTGCAGCTTCTCTCACAATATATTACTTGTTTTGTAAACATGAAGGCCTTGATTTTTTTCTTTTAAGTTTACCTTTACATATCCTTAAAGACTGGTGAAAGAGAGCAAAATGCAATAGAAGTTGAAAACCACAGTTATACAGTAAGAAATTTGTATTATTACTTACAGCTCAAAATTAAGCAATAGTCTATTTCATATCATATTGTTTCTTTCCTTTGCAAACATACACTCAGTCCTAACTATGGGAATAATTTTTAAATACTGAGTAACAGACTCAAAAGAAAATAAAAAGAATAGTAATAATGTTCCAAAACTGTATACCTTAAGCTTTCTTAAACAAAACATACATACAAAACTGTCCCAAATCCCCAGATTTATTGAAATATAATCCACCTATTACCCATTTAAAATGTACAACGTAGTGGCTTTTAGTATATTCACGAGATTGTGCAACCATCGCCACTATTTAATTTCAGACCATTTTGCTTGTTGCAAAAAGAAAAATTCCAAATCCATTAGCAGCTATTCATTGTTCTTTTCTCACCTGACCCTTGGCAATCACTAATCTATTTGCTATGAATCTAAACATTTAATAAGTGGCATCATATAGCATGTGACCTTTTCTGTCTGGCTCCTTTCACTTCTGTTATAACATATGAGTACTGGTATTTCATTTCTTTTTATGTTCTGATAATATTTCACTGAATGAATATACCACATTTTGCTGATCTGTTTACCCATCAGGTTACTTCAACTTTGGACTATAACGTTATAAACGTTACTAAGAACACTGGTGCACAAGTTTTTGTGTGAACACATTTTCAATTTTCATGGGTATATAGCTAGAAATGATGGGTCATAAAGTAACTCTATGTTCAACTTTTTGAGATCAACTGTTTTCTAAAGCAGCCATACCATTTTACATTCTCACCAATTTAAGACAGTTTCAATTTCTCCACATTCTTTAAAACATGTTATTTTCCATAATAATAGGATAGCTTTTTCTTTTTTATTAGCATTTATTAATTGTATAAAGGGGTGTCACTGTGATATTTCCACACATGTATATAAAGTACTTTGATCAAATTCACTCCATTGCTTTTTTATCCCCTCTTCCCTTTTAAACAATTTTTAACGAGTTTAATTATTCTCATATTATACATGTATATGAAGTACTTCAATCATATTTACCCTCCCTTCACCCTCTCCTTTCACTCTTCCCCCGCCCACTGGTTCCCACTCCCCAAACACGTCTAGATTTTCCATATGAGACAGAACATATGATATTTGTCTTTCTCAGTCTGGCTTATTTCACTTCACATGATGATTTCCAGTTCCATCCATTTTCTTGAAAATGGATGCCTTTATGGCTGATAAAGACATCTTAGCAAGTGTGAAGTGGTATCTCATTGTGTTTTATTTGTATTTCCCTAATAACTAATGATATTTTGATGTGTTTACTAGCCATTTGTATGTATTTTTTGTAAATGCCTATTCAGGTCTTTTGTTCATTTTTGAATTAGGTTACTTGTTTTTTATTTATTAGGTTGTAGTAGTTCTTACATATGTTAAATGTGTTCCTTATTGGATATTATGATTCGTAAATTTTACCTCTCACTCAGAGGGTTACCTTTTCATTTTCTTAACTGTATCTTTTGAAGCATTTTCATAAAGCCCACTTCTTTGTTTGGTTACTCATACCTTTGGCAACATATTTAAAAACCCATCACCTAGACCATGGTCATAAAGATTCAGGCCTATGTTTTCTTCTAAGACCTTTACAGTTTTAGTTCTTAAACACCTTTGATCTGTTTGCTATGGTTTGGATAAGTGTCTACCAAAGGCCCATGTGTTAAGACTTGGTTTCCAGGTTGGCAATATTGGGAGGTGGTGGAAAATTTAAGAGGTGGGGTCTTGTGGGAGGTCTGAATGTCACTGCGGGGGATGGGGGCATGCCCTTGAAGAGGACTGTGAAACCTCAAAATAGTTTTGCTCTGCCAAATGCTTCCACCATGACATGTCACCACAGGACCCAAAGCAATGGGGTCAACCAACCATATATTGAAACCTTAAAAACTGTGAGCCACAACAGACCTTTCTCTGTATAAGTTGATGTCAAGTATTTGTTATAGTCATGATTTTTAATACTTTTAATTTTGTATATGAAGTAAAGCATAGGTAATAATTTCATTCTTTTTTGTATAGAAAAAATACCTCAATTCATTTGTTGAAAAAAATATTCTTTCCCCATTGAACTATCTTGACACCTTTGTTGAAAAAGTATTGGAAAACTATTGAAAAACAAGCCCTCATAAAAGTGAGGGCTTATTTCTGGACTCTCAGTTGTATTCTATTGTTCTGTCTATCCTTAAACCAGTACCTCATACTATCTTGGTAAGATTTTTTTTTTTTTTTTTTTTGGCTATTCCTGAGACTTTCATAAGCATTCCTTTTCATACATTTCTTGTTCTCAGGGTAAATGTTTGAAAACTAATCTGTCCAACTAGAATAAAACCATTGACACACAAGAAAATTGGGCATTATGGTGCCCTGAAATTTATGTCCTGTGTGACTAATTAATGAATAGTAAAAAAAAAAAGAAATCATCTTCCATGAAACAAGAGATTCTGAACTAGGTGTCAGTGGCTCATTCCTGTGATCCTAGTTACTTGGGAGGCAGAGATTGGGAGGATTACGGCTTGAGGCCAGTCTGGGCAAATAGTTCATGAGGTTCCATCTCCAAAAGAACCATAAGAAAATGGGCTGGAGATGTGGCTCAAGTGATAGAGCACCTGCTTTACAAACACAAAGTCCTGAGTTCAAAACTCAACCCCACCAAAAAAGTGGGGGGAGGAAAGAAGAGAGGGAAAGGAAGAAGGGAGAGAGAGAGAGAGAGAGAGAGAGAGAGAGACAGAGAGAGAGAGACAGATTGATTCTGGAGCATAAGGAAAAACTGGGTCGTCCTCCCCAAAAATAAGCCATCTCCACTGATTTTTTTTATAATTACCACATAAAATGTTACATAAATTTAAGTTGCAAAGTATAATGATAAACAAGCACTCTTAAATCTACCACTCAGCTTAGGACTGGACCAATTTGAGTACTATCAAAGGACTCTAATTCTTACCACTTTCATAAATTTATGATTATCATTTTGGGTTTTTTTTTTTTTTGTGGGTCAGGGATTTGAATACAAGGCTTTGCAACTGCAAAGCAGGCACTCTACCACTTGAGCCATACCTCCAGTTCATTTTGCTCTGGTTATTTTGGAGATGGGGTCTTGTGAACTATTTGTCCAGGCTGGCCTTCAACCTTAAGACTCCTGATCTCAGCCTCCCAAGAAGCTAGGTGTGAGCCAACAGTGCCCAGCTCTTTTGCTTTTTTAATAACTAGTTTTACTACACATGCTCCATAACTTACTTTAGTTGTTTCTCTTTTTGAGCCTTTGGGCAGTATTGGGTTGGAATGCAGGGCTTTGTGCTCACTAGGCAGGGGCTCTACCACTTGAGATACACATCTAGCTATTTTTGAGCTTTTAAAAATGGTATAATACATTATCCAGGCATGGTGGTACATGCCTATAATCCCAGCACTTGGGAGGCTGAGGCAGAAAGATCCAGCGTGGATCTCTACATAAGGGGTGCTTCATCTTTATACATCTGGGTTCTTACTAGTAAAGTTTTTAAAAGTAAGGATTTCCCATGAGCTATCAGTCATATCTTCAATACCCCAAAATTGAAAAATATAAAGATTTAAAAGTCTGGTAACAACTAATGTTGATAACAATATGAGGAAAGACCTATCGGTGGTTACTTATTTAGAAGCACCTATTGAAGCAACTTGATATCATGTCTACCAAGTTGTAAGTGCTTAACCTAGTAATCTCATCTCTTAAGACTTTATGCTTACAGAGATACTTACATAGTAGGCAAAGGCTAGAATGTTCACCACAGTGCTGCTATATTCATGAAAAACTGGAACACTAATAAATGTCCAACAATAAGGGAGTACATACATAAATGGTCCTATCCAAATATAAGCAAGCCATGAATTCCTATAAAGGAAATATAAACTTTTCTAGATAGTCGTATCTAGAAACAATACTGAGCAAATCATTGAAAACTGTGATGACCTTCTATCCAACAATATGACTTTTAGCATTACATTCTCAGAATAATTAAGGGTGTAAGAAAAGACACAGAGACAGATATATTCGCTGTAGTTCTTTAAAATAAAACAAGGGCTGGCAGAGTGGCTCAAGTGGTAAAGAGCTTGCCTAAAATAACAACAAACCCTTTTGCAACCTATTGTTAATAAATTAATAAAATGGAAAATATAGTCAGTCATCAAAAATGTTGTAACTACTTACTGAAATGAGAAGATGTAAGTGTGAAGGGAAAAATGTATACAAAGAGTAATATAGTTTGTATGATCCCTCCCCCATTTTGGGGGCAGTACTAGGGATTGAGTGTAGAGCCTCATGCTAGCATTCAACCACTTGAGCCATGCTCCAGTGCTGTATGATCCCATTTTTGTAAAAAGCGTTATCACCATACACAACAAACAGAGGTATATAAAAGTATATGTACAGTAAAAATATTACAAATAGGTGGGATAACAGTTAAATTTTTTTTCTTCCTTTTCACTTTGTTTTCTAGTCATTCTACAACACACATATTATTCTTATAGTCCTAACGTTTATTCTGAAAGGAAATAAAATAATTAAAAGTCCCTCAAAAAAACGCATTAAGTCTATGAAAGTGCCTATTTTCATTAATTCTCGAAACTTAACTTGCCAATAACTCATCTTTAGAGTGCAGAAACAGTTACCAATAATGAAACAAAAACCAATACTATTTAGCCTTTCTAATCAATAAGTGCACTAAAAATACTACTCCTTCACCATTTCCTTCTGGTGGACAATTACCCTATCTTTCATATGTAGGAATCAATAACCAAATGAATTTACCAGAGAAAATACAGAACAAAGCTACCCTGAGAAAATTTTTACCAAATGAATAGGCCGCCTGTAATTAAAAACATATATAAGCAAAACCAACCAACCAACCGACAACCCCAGATCTCTGTAAAAGTCAGGAATGCTGGGTTTAATCTTCTCTCCTAGAAATTATCAGCAGCAAGAATCCGCTGGCCTCTGACTTTAAACACTAGTATCAATTCAACACTAGCTTAAAAGGAGTAAGACCACCTACAGAATTACCTTCATCAGAGGATATGTTACTAAAGTCATTGTCCAACTAGTAGAACCACATCAGCATCTAGCCAAACAGATACAACTATCCCTAAGACCTTTTTTATTCTCTTACCCTGTCTAGCCCAGATTTTCCCAGTAATCCCACTTACCATTGTTGTTGGCAATTAGTGTGACAAGAGTCTTCTTTGTACTGTCGCTGTTCTGTGCCCCGCTGCTACTAACGGTGGTGGAAGTAGAGAGATGCCCAGCAACAGAAGCATGGGCAGCGATGGGCACTGGAGCCGAGACTGGCTGCTGGCTCACAGAAACTGTGGGGAAGGGGAGGCACAGTCACTTGGAGATAGGGACAGATGACACTAAAGGATACTGTTCTAATGTTCCCTTTTCATCTTGTTGTGGGCCTCTACAGCCAGAAAATTTCCTGTTTCATTCATAAATTCAACTATCCCCCTGATTTCTTCTCCTGATTGTCTCTCAGTCCACTCAGTCCACCATTTAGACACCATTCCTTCTTCTTTAACTCACATTTTATGGTTAATTATGGCCTTGCTTATATAGTTCTAACAAATCTCTAAGACTCAAAAGTTCATTATCATCTCTACTGGGTCCTTTTTCAGCCTGTATCAATGCCATCTTCAGATTTCAAGGCAAGGAAGATAAAAAAAAATAGAGAGCAACTGGTACAATCTAGGAGAAAAGAGGAACTGCCACTCATTTTCTGAATTCAGGGCAATCTAGGATTTAACCCTGCAATATCACCTTTACAAAAGAGATGCTAACAAGCCTCAGTTTGTAAACTGTCCATGAAGGCAGACACAAAGCAATTTCTGCTCAGCTCACAAAGGAAACCAAGTTCAAGTAAAACAAACAAATAATCAAGACTATGGGAACTTATATTTGACTGAATACATAAATCAACTCTGACACACACTGCCAGTTAACATTCTTGTTCATGCATCATTTAGTAAGAGGATTGCTAGGTGTTTGATGAACATTAGTTAACCCAACCTCTCAACGCTTTTAATTAATCAAGTAGAGTTTTTTCCTAGCTTTATGGATAAGGAAACTGAGGTATTCACAGGCTAGAGCAAGGAAAAGAAGGTGATTACCAAAGCCACAATAAGGCATCCCTGGATTCCTAAAGTATTTTTCCACCTCATGCTTTCTGAACCAAAACACCATTCAATTTCATTAAACAATAATCTGAGATCAAAAGCGTTTGTTACCTGCAGTAGTTTTATCCACTGAATTATAATCTTCAACTACAGAGTCCTCGATAACATCACTGATTTTCTGCCATGGTTCCAACTCCTCCTCCTCACATTCCATAAACAAGTCGGTGTCCGCCATGCTACAAGAAAAAAAAGTTTAATAAGATATTGACCTAAGAACTGGAGAAATAATTTTATACAAAATATGGAATTGGATTCTTGACTCCATTAGTACCCTGTGCCTAGGGGTAAGAATTACAACTTTTAGCCAGATGCCAGTAGCTCATGCCTGCAAACCTAGCTACTTGGGAGGGCTGAGATCAGGATCAAGGTTTGAAGCCAGCCTGGGGAAATAGTTCATGAGATTCCCCCATCTTCAAAATAACCAGAGCAAAATGGACTGGAGGTATGGATCAAGTGTAGAGTATCTGCCATGGATTCAAACCCCAGTTCCACAAAAAAAATTTTTAAAAATCTTAAAAAAAAATTCTTGGATATTAGAATATTCTTGAATACTAGAATCCCTTCCATGGCAAGTTCTTTAATAATCAAGATTATAAAAGTTTAAGATGCAATACCCAGGGCCATGGTTAGGGTAAGGTGAGTGAGCCATGCAAGTATAGGTGGTATCCAGTCTTTAAAATTAGTATTTTGTTCATTATGAATTGTTTTTGCATTAATACCTATCTTTTTTAAATGATGTGTTTAGGGCTAGATCCAGATATAGTTCGGAGATAGAGCTCTTGGTTAGCATGTGCAAGGGCTTGAGTTTGATCCAGAGCACCACAAAAAAATAATAAATCAAGTAAAATGTGTTAAAACACTACTTAGTGATTATTGAGACTTTTTTTCCTTTAAATTCTGCCTAAATTTTGTACCTAAAATGAGAAACTCACTTATCATACTCTTGTTCTAGTCCTACTACTATCTTGTACTTCTAGTCTACAAAATTCTGGAAGCTACTTACTCTATCATGATTTTAGAATCTACCTTTAATTTGAAAACACAGTCTATGTTACACAACTCTTTTAAAAATAAAGCCTACAACTCTGCTACTATTCTGTTCTATAATATTAGCTGACTAAGGGTAGTTTCTTTGTCTTGGAATGAGAGTAGTAGTATGCTCAATGCTCAAAGCTGTCAATGCAAAGGCTCTGGGTACCCTTAGTGTCGTAGTTACAAACTGAAAGCAAAACAACCAACCTAACTATTCTGTTTATTAAGCAGTTAGGTCCATAAAACTGACAGCAGTAGTTTGGGCAATGGCCAACAGATGGCGATGTTTCCTTTGAAAATTTAAACTATCCTATAATACCCCAGTGAGCTATAACCAGGCACCTAGTTTGGAAACTATAATTTTAATGGATAAAGTGCTTAATTAGATTCTAACTGGCCTCTAATCTTCTATTTCAATTATACCTGTCTTTCCAAACTAAAACCACAAAGAGGGAGGAAATAAAATCTAAATATTACTGCAAATTCTCTTATTTTCATATTTAACATATAGGTATATACAAGACAAGGCTAGCCAGAAACTGAATTTAAATAAAAAATATATCAGACATTCTTTGAGTGAACCACAAAACACATGTCCCTTTATTTTCTGGTCTAGTTCTAGTAAAAAAAATGTGATATTATAAACTTTTTTCCTAATTTTATGCCACTGTTTAGTCAACAGATAATAAATGCATAAATATTAAATACCCAGAAGAATAATAATATAAAGTGTAGGTGATAACCTCTACAGATGTTTTCCAAGGACCATCTTTCAGTTCTGACCAGCTATAAGCAAATTCTCCACACATATGTTAAGCAATCGTAGACAACTTTCCTTTGAAATAAGTAGAGCTACTTGAATACAAGCTGTAGTCTCCAATGTCATGTCTGAATATTTTAATAGCATATCCAAAAGGCTGATCTTCTATCTCAAGTATTTATAATATCTTGAGAGACTGAGTTCTAGCCAGGCATGGTGATGCAAACTTGTGCCTGGAATCCCAGCACTTAAAGACTGAGGGAGGATGACTGTGGGTTTGAGGCCAGTCAGGGCTACATAGAGGAAGACTGTCTCAAAGTGAAAGAAAGAGACAGAGAGATACTGAGTTCTTTATTTGCTCAAACAATGAATTTTAAATAAGAATACTGAAAATTGCCGTCCGCTGATCAAAGGCAAATTATGTTATTCCTCCCATGAAACAGTAACTCTTAAAAAAAATTGAAATGGCAAAGTAAGATATTTTTTAACTACCCTTTTTTTTTTTGGTGGTACTAGGGCTTGAATTCAGGGACTTCACCAGCCCTATTTTTGTGCAGGATTTTTCGAGACAGGGTCTTGCAAACTCTTTGTCCGGCTGGCTTCAAACCATGATCCCCCTGATCTCTGCCTCCTGAGTAGCTAGGATTACAGGTGTGAGCCACCAGCACCCGCCTCTAACTACTTTTTAATGTAGTGAGAAAACTCCTTTACTCAGGTGCAAGTACTGCCAAGAAGCCAACATAATTAAAATACTCAAAGTGGAAAGAAAATTCAGCTTATCAAGAAGTATTTTTCATGTTTTTTACAGCACAGAAGATGGAATTAACCAATAAGCTTGGTCAAACCAGCAAAAAGACTGCTGACAGAGCATATTTTACACTTATACATAAAACATCTCTGAAAGACATTGAGACCAAGTTTCTTTTAAGCACATAATCTTTGATTCTGACCTAGACTGTTATCTCAGAATGTAACCAATTCTTTTCACTTCAGCATCTACAAAGCTTAGGTTCAAAAGATAGGCCATGAGAGGTATCAGCCTAAAGTAAATACTTGGCAAACTTAAAAATGGAAAATAAAAATTTAGCATCCTCCTCGTAGCTTTCCGGTTATCAAAATATTGTCAGTGATGGACCAGGAATGTAGTGGCTCACACCTGTAATTACAGCTACTCAGGAGGCAGAGATTGGAGGATCATGGTTCAAAGTCATAGTGGGTAAAAAGTTAGTGAGACATCATCCCAACCAATAGCTGAGCACCTGTAATCCGCGCTATGCAAGAAGCATAAATAGGACTTTTTTTTTTTGGTGGGATTGGGGTTTGAACTCAGAGCATTGCACTTGCAAAGCAGGCACTCTACCACTTGAGCTATGCCTCCAGCCTGAACAAACAGGAGAATTACAGCCCAGGCCAGCCAGAGCAAAAACAAAAGATCCTAGCCCAAAACTAATGAAAGCAGAAAGGAACAGGAGCTAGGCTCAGGGGCTAGAAAACCTGCCTAGCAAGCAGGAGGTCCTGGTTTGAATCTCAGGACTGCACCCCCCCCCATAAAAAAAAAACCTTCAGGAATATGATGAAATGCTGTATTTAATAATTCTACTCAGATGCTCAAGAATTACTTCCTGTGGCCTTTCAAGTGGTACGTACAGTCTTCTTTCAACTATTTTTGACCAAAGACAACAGAATTACTGAATATGCAGTATTAAAATGTACCAATCTAGCTAGGAAGAGTGGCTCACAGCTGTAATTCTAGCTATTTAGAAGGCTGAGTGAGATCCAGAGGATAGCAACTCAAGGGTAAACAGTTTGGCAGATCCCATCTTGGCTAATTGCTGGATGCAGGGCACACACCTGTCACCCCAAGCTATGTGGGAGGCTGAGATAGGGAGGATCACAGTTCCCTGCCAACCTGGACAAAAAAGTTTGTGAGACCCAATCTCAAAGGAAAAAACTGGGTATGGTGACTCATCCTTGTCATCCCAGCAATGGCAGGAAGCACAAAATAGGAAGATCAAAGTCTAAGTCAGTCCAGGGAAAGAGTGAGACCTTATCCACAAAAAACCAGAGCAGAAAGGGCTAGAAGCTCAAGCACTTAAGCATCTGCCTAGCAAGCGTGACACCTCAGTATCACCAAAAAAAAAAAAAAGCACAAATCTTTCACAACTATCATTTCACTTACATTTAATCTTTTTGTACACCAAAAACCTGTAATTTCTCACAAGGAATAAATGTATTATTTTGCTATAAAGAAGAGGCTGGGGCCAAGAGATGTGGCTGAAGTGGCAGAGTGCCTAACAAGCACAAGGCCCTGAGTTCAAACCCCAGGTTCCACAAAAATGAAAGAGGCTTGGATACTTATTCTGCTTTTAAAAAACACTGAAGTTTGATCTTTCATTTAGGGACATTCTTATTTCTTCTAAAAACTGGCATTCTGAAATGTGAATTTCAGAAATTAAAGGCTAGTACCTAGACAACACATTAAAAGTTTGGGATTGACGGAGTGGCTCAAGTGGTAGAGTGTCTGCCTGGCAAGCGTGAGGCCCTGAGTTCAAACCACCCAGAAAACTACTGCCCACCCCCAAGAAGGAGGAAAGCTTGAACTGGCACTGGTGGTGCATACCTGCTGGTGAAGCAGGAAGATAGTGAATTTTTTTTTTTCTTTTCCTTTTGTGACAATACTGGAGTTTCAACTCAGGGTCTCATGCTTGCTAGGCAGGCATTCTCCCACTTGGGCCACTCCACCAGTGTGGAGTGTTTGTGTGTTGGGTATTTTTGAGACAAGGGTCTTGTTTTTTGTCTGGGCTGGCCTCAAACCTCAATCTTGATCTTTGCCTCCTAAGTAGCTGGGATTATAGAAATTAAGCCAATGATGCATGATGAATGGTGCGTTGAATGGTGCGTTTTGAAGCTAGCCTGGACTACACGGTGAGACTGTTTCAAAAAACAAAAAGACAAACAGCCAGGTGCCTGTAATTCTAGTACTCAGGAGGCAGAGATCAGGAGGATCGAGGTTCAAAGCCAGCCCAGACATACAGTTCGCAAGATCCTATCTTGAAAAAACCAATCACAAAAAAAGGCTGGTGGAATGCTCACACACAGTATAGGCCCTGAGTTCAAACCCAGGACCACAAAAAATGAATCTTACAAGCTCATTTCATACATTTTCTACCCCAGACCCATAAGCAGCCATTTCACGACAGAATACTGGTGAAGAGTGATATTCAAGGCCACCATCTAGATGCTAGAGGCCTTTCGGCTCATTTTAAATATAAACTACCTCCAAAGCAATCCCCAAGAATTAGTAGCTATCATCAGTTTTGCTCCATTACATATCCACAAATAATATGTCTTAGAAAAAGATAAAAAAATTTCTTCTGAAATTTT